AAAAAAAAAAAAAAAAACAAACATAATCTGGGTTGGAGCTCAACTGCTTGCAAGCAGTGCGGCATGAAGCCTGGAAATCGCGAACTTGGGCCCGGACGTACATGGGATTGCCCACCACCTCCTTCTTTAAAACGGAGACATCGCCCAACAAACGCGGGAACTGGTAAAAGTCCAGCGGTGGGTTGGTGGTAGAACCCGACACATAGCCTGCATCACAGCTGGCTGCTACTGTAATAATAGGTAATAATAATAGTAATAGTAATAATAACAATAGTAATAATGGTAATAATAGTAATAATAATAATAGTAATAATACTAGTAATAGTACTGGTGGTAGAACCCGACACATAGCCTGCATCACAGCTGGCTGCTACTGTAATAATAGGTAATAATTATAATAATAATAGTCGTAATAGTAATAATAACAATAGTAATACTGGTAGTAATAGTAATAATAATAGTAATAGTACTAATAACAATAGTAATAGTAGTAATAATGGTAATAATAATAATAGTAATAGTACTAATAACAATAGTAATAATAGTAATAATGGTAATAATAATAATAGTAATACTAATAATAATAGTAATAATAATAGTAATAGTAATAATAACAATAGTAATAGTAATAATAATGTCCGCTGCGCTTCACATGGGCTTCATGAGCTGCCTGGGTTTAGGGTTTAGGGCCACTCTTGGGATCTCTTGTGTAGGTCCCAAACAAATTTGATTCCAAAAATCTCCCAGAGGGTCCACATATACAACCATTAGGGAATTGGGACCCATAATTCCTTCTATAGTATGGTATGTTGGGGCCTAATTCCCTAATAGTTATGTATATGGACCCTCTGGGTCTGCTTGAACTCGGCATCTTGCAGCCAAGTCCAGACGGGGAGCATGCTTTCACAATGCTCCTGAAGATGGCTTCATTAGGTTGAGCTTGGTGCTATAGGGGTTCTATAGTAATAATAATGGAAAAGAAAATGGAAGCTACTATATTGGGATAATGGAAAAGAAAATGGAAGCTACTATATTGGGATAATGGAAAAGAAAATGGAAGCTACAAAATTGGGATAATGGAAAAGAAAATGGAAGCTACTATATAGACCTGTGAGGATAGAATAGATTGAGCTCCATCATTGGGGTAGTATCCCTACATACTACTGAAGAGTCCATTTCAAATTCCATTTAATTGCCCATTCCATTCTCCACTATTCCTCTGCATGCCAAGAGGGCTTCCGAAGATTGCGCTTGACGGCTTGCACGGGACTAAGGCACTTCTGCACTGCGGAATAGGGGTTATCACTGTATTGTATAGGGGATGATCTTGGGATAATGGAAAATAAAATGGAAACTACTATAGTATGGGGGCTTATCTTGGGATAATGGAAAATAAAATGGAAACTACTATAGTATATGGGGATTATCTTGGGATAATGGAAAATGAAATGGAAACTACTATAATGGGGCTATATAGGGGTTATAGAGGGTATAAGGTTTTATAGGGGTTATCTTGGAATAATGGGAAATAAAATGGAAGCTACTATAATATATGGGGATTATATTGAAACTACTATAACATGTAATGGTTCATGTCGGTTCATACGTACATCTTTTGAAGCCCTAGCGTCCTAGCGCGAGTCGAACCTGAAAAGATTCCTGCAGCTTGTCACCTCTTGCCTCGGCATTGTGCAGGATTTGGCGTGACCCCGGCATCGAAGGCACCTGAGATGGAGCAGTGCTGAAAGCATTTGGATTCTGGATATGAAGGCTGCTGCAATGAGACCCCGAATGATGAAGTAACGAAGGGTCAGTATGTGGACTGCGGTCATGCTTGCCTACTAAGTAGCTATCACTGAAAGACGTCCCCCATGATTGCAATCAGAAACGTACATGACTGACATACAGCGTGTGGCTGCTAGTAAGAGGGTCTTGATAACCCCTATATGATGCATTCCCATATTCCCTATATAATCCTATTAAATTCCACTACATAATCCCTATGCATCATTAACATTATTCCCATATTCCCTACTAAGAACCGGAGAGTCCAGGGCTGCCGAAGGGCTGAACGCATAGATTCGGAGGAGCTTGCCAGTGATCTCTGTCAGAGCTAAGCTCATTACCTGTCCAAAACGTCTTACTGACTGGGGGGGTAGGAGGGAATAAGAGAATGTATTAGTGTCAATAATACAGGGGAATATGGGGATATACTATAGGGTTTAGGGTGTAGGGTTTGTTTGGGCTTAGTAGGGAATAATATACATGTTGGGGTTTCATGGGGATCATGGAAAAGAAAATGCAAACTGCTATTTAGGGTTAGTAGGGAATAAGGGAATATAGCATTATGTGGGGATTCTACAGGGATTCTTTCACCTTTTCCTATTTACCATCAGTGAGGCTTTGTGTGCATGTTGGAGTCTTATATCGAGGCCACATCAGTGAGCCACCATCAGAATACTTGGGGAAGGATGTTTCAGTGTTTGGGGGCCCCATTCGCGAACATGTGTCCAGTCGAGACAAAGCAGCAACACGGCTATCTCCAAAACAAGTCGAGCAGCTTATTGTGCTTACTACTACCAAGCCAACGAATCGGGTTGTAGAGGCTCTTGCTAACTGAAATTTGATCACAGGCGTAAACTCAATCCAGTCTCATCTCTTCGTGTACTCTTTATGAGGGATGTGACGGCAAGCTTGAAGGAGCCCAATGTACCTACCCAAACAAGTCACCAGCAGCTTTGCCTGTAAGGTTGACCATCAAAAATCCTCGACATTCCTCCTACACTCGGCTGCCTCGTCCACTGTCAACACCTCTAAAGCTGTGTCGGTGAGCGAAGCCGCAGACTTGATGTCCTGCAAAAACATGCGCCAGGAAAGCTGGGAGTGCGTGGACTGGATTCACTAGACGCCCAGAAGCTCAATCCCTAATCCCTGAACCCTGTAAATCCCTAAACCCTAAACAGTAGTATCCATTTTCTTTTCCACGATATATATATATACATATAACAAATGTGCAGATGTCCTGCACACACTCGTCTGCCATCAAGGACCTGGCGACATGACAAGCTGCGGCTACAGCAGCCGAACGGCTACGGGGTGGGCATCATGCACGGAACTGCGATACCGGGCTTAGGACTCCTAAATGGGTTGTTTTTATAGGGGGTTATATAGAGAGTTATAGGGGGGGACCATTTATAGAGGACTGTTATAGTGGTCTTAGGACTCCAGCACTTCATGTGGCCTTTATGGTCCAGCAATTTGGCTTGCGGTGGCCTCCATGTGCACTGTTGCCCCTTGACCATCTCCTTGATCTTTGGATTACCGAACTTGTCCTTCGAAACGTCATGCGCTCTGGAGACCTTCACGTAATTCTCCTTGCGACTTGAAACGGGGCTGAAACAGCATTCCAGTCTGAAGGACCCAAGCCATCCATCAGACTGAGACTTGACTTGACTTTGCAGTAGACTTGAAGCATGAACTGGCAGAGTTTGTCGAACCTGCCGTTAGGGATACTCATATACTTGCAAGTGCCGTTGCAAGTGCGTAGTGACGCTGAAACATGCGCAAGCTTTGATTTGCTCTTGGTATGGCAGTTTCCCCCAATGAGGCGGACTCCAAAAACAAAAACACTATAATCCATGTTATGGGGAATCCCATAAAATGTCTCCCTAACTTTGGGAAACCCTCAACCCTATATATCCCTACATCAACCCTATATCACCCCTATATAACCCCTATATCACCCCTATATAACCCCTATATCACCCATATATCACCCCTTTATAACCCTTATATAACCCCTACACAACCCCTAGAGTACCCCTGTATAACCCGTATACACCCTAACCCCTAAACCCTATATCCCCTGTAGGTACGGTGGATATTCAAAAACCCTGCATGACCCGAAGTACCATATACCTTGGGAATTATAGTACAACAGTAGATTAAGGTCATGCAGGGTTAACCCTAAACCCTAAAACCTAAACCCTAAACCCTAAAAGCTAAACCCTAAACCCTAAACCCTATATCCTGTAGGTATTTCTCCAAGTCTCCATGACAGCTTGCTTGATGGCAGGGCGGAGTTCCAACCACCAGGACATGGCTTTCTTGAAGCTGCCGTCATCTTTTCCTTTGTAGGGTTTAGGATGTCAAGGGTTTTAGGGATTAGGGTTTAGGGTTAAGGATTTTGAGTGATTTAGGGTTTAAGGGGTTTCGGGTTGAGGGGCTTAGGGTTTAGGGCTTGGGGTTTAGGGTTTAGTACTACTAGTAATACTAGTAATCGTAATAAAAACAATACTAAACATAACCGGAGCGTCTTTATTTGGTGGTTGAGCCCGGTAAGATTAAATCATTTCTAGAAACTTCTGCACCCCAAAGGAGGATGTAATCTTGTGAGCAGCCTGGGACGTAAGGTAGACCTGGAGATCTTCATAGTAGTAATAATAACACTAGCAATAAAGTAATACTTATAATAACACTAAGAACCATACTGGCAATAATCGTGAGATATCGTGAGAATAGTACTAAGAAAAAATACTAGTAAAAACCAAAAATAACAGGAAGCCTTGAAGTTGCCACGGTTTGAGGCTAATGAGGGTTCAAAGATGGTCGGGCATGGGGAGTTCAAGTGCCACATGTTTGAAGAATTGCGGCCTGTCTCATGATTCTGATCTTCAAAATAAAGCACGAAAGAATCGAGCACTTAAAGCCGCCCGCGCATTCTGTACTTTGTGCCTGCATGTGCCTGCGTCATGTCCTAATTATGAAGAAGCATGAGCAACTGTCCAAATTGCGACCGTCACCGTTGCAAGGCATCAAGGCTTAGCCGAAAACAAAGCTTGAAGTTGTAGTAATAATAGTGCCAAACGTACTCACAGTAACAATACTACCAAAAGTACTAATAGAAATAAAAGTACAAATAGTAATAACCGTACTAATAATACTACTAAGAATAATAGTAATAATAAAGGTCAAAATTAGCTGAGCGCGCGGCTGCTCTCAGCGAATGATGCGTAGGCGTGCTCCACAACTACCTGAGCCCGAAGGCAGCGATTCTGGCACGGTCTTCCAAGGGATCCAAGTGATCAAACCTTTCGCCCAGAAGGGCTTTCAGCTTGTACGCTCCACTTTGTACTATTTTGTCATCAGGCCTTTTGACATGTCGACCTTGGCACCACAAAAACCATAAGAGTATGTAGCTTACCATGTCATCAAGATGATGCCTATACATGCTGATCGTTGATGCTCGCTCTCGTTGTCATTGCAGCCTGGGTGCGTAGTTAACATTCGAGTTGACCTTAAAGCGGATGAAGACGTTTGACATGTCTGGCGGGATTCGGCCAACAGCCTTCTTCCACTCGTCTTGCAAGGCCTTGCAGCGTTCTGCTTTACAGGTGTGATTCAGGCTTGCAGCGATATTAGAAGTGCTGGATCTGGTTGATTCGACTCTCTGAAAATATGCATGCAGTATTCGGAAACTTGCAGAAGGTGTTGTAGCCGAATAGAACCACAGATGGTCTCACCACAGCTCTCACACAAGCCAAACCCTCCAAGACGCTGTGTAGACGAGGATCTTTGTACATGACATGCGGTCAACGATTTCCAAGTAACACTCTTAGCCATTTCGAGCAACAGCAGCTATATTGTTCCCCTGTTGTCATAGTACACAGACGAACCGATCTCGTTCTCGCGTTGGCAGCACTGAGTATTTGCAACTGCTGCATGGCCGGCCTGTCATCCGTCTTCACTTACGAATCCCTTCCACCCCTCCATGCACCAGAATTTCTATTCCTACACGGAATGTGGCGGAGATAGCGCAGGCCGCGGTTGCCTTCAGCCTATCCTGCGGAACGCTCTCTCCACCTCACACTTTAATGATACCACTTGCTCAGGTGGTCCAGGGCTGTATGCTCGGAATTTTAAGGCATAGCCACAGCCAGCTTGATTCCATCCAGCAGCCCAGGACCCTGCGAGAGACCTCCTGAAAGTTTTGGTTTGATTAAATGCTCCACCTGTCTCGGAGTTTGGCAGGACGACGTGTTTATCCGATAGTATAGTTTTGCTCAAGGTTCAATAAGGCCTTCATCTAGGCCCAGGAGCCTCCTTCATGAGCGTGGCGGGCATGTTCGCAAAGAAGTCCGTTGTCCAGTGCATGTAGTTGTTGGACCCCTGAGTTCATGATCTGGGTGAGCGGCGGATCACAGGAATTAGGTGCAACAGGCAGGGCGTCAGAAAGTATTCTCTGCTCCTTCCTCAGGGCACTGCAGCCAAGCAGCCACGTGGCAGGCCTTGAAGCCCTTCTGCAGGATGTGGTCTTTGAACTTCTTGTGAAGCCTCAGGATGAATACATTTTCTTGAGGCAAGCCGGTGTACGTGCAAATCCTTGCTAAGGCGGCTCAAGTTGAGTTGCGGAGGCATGTCCAAACTGATTCAAAACAACCAGCTGGTCCGCAAGAGTTGCGGCGCCGAACTGAGGCCACTGCTTGTCCTTCGGAAAGTTTGTTGTGCCCTCTTCACCAACCACCTCGAGTTCATGGATCAAGCAGCAAAGGTCGCTAGGCTTGGGTAGCTTTGGCCACGGCACCAAAACCCGGGCCCAATCTGCTTCTGCCAACTTCAACATAGATGCCCGAAGTCGGTCCAATTCCCGGAACTTTCCCTCCAATTTGCTGCCCATGCTGTTGGATGGCCTGGATAAACAGCCTTGCAGTATTTCCTGCAATGCAAGTACTGGCAATTGCCCATCATGCTTTGAAGCAGAGCGGCCAACTCCCTTAAAATCCTACTTAAACCCTATATACCCTAAACCCTATATACCCTAAAGCCCTAATATGACCCTATATAACCCCAATATGCTATCGTAGTTTCCACTTGATTTTCCCTTATCCCTATATAACCCTAGTGCAAACGGAGCCCTGCTTGCAAGTGATAGCTTCCAGCCAGGGTGCAATGTACAGAGGCGATCCATTCCCAGCGAAGCTGGGTTGCAGCCGGCCAAGGGAGCCTTCAGGGCCTGCGCTGGTTTCTTATGTGTGGCGGGCTCACGGGAAGTGGATTCAATCCACATGATGGGATGCAACAGTCCTAACATGATATGCTCTAGAAGACTTGGAAAGCCTTCATACATCCCACTACCTTAAAGCAAGGCTCAATGGCAAGGCACAACAGCACCATTGCCACAGACGGCTCGCGCAAGATGCGAAACCCAGACCCCCTAAAGGCTCCAAAAAATGGGACCCCTGAGAATGCCCCAGTTTCTCCAATGCAGAAATGGGTTCGTACGAGCTGTAGCCTAAGCTCCGAGTATCCCCCTTCATATCCCCTGTAGCCGTCTCCTTTTTCATTCCTTTTTTTTCACCCCCCTTTAAGGAGTTTAGACTATAGCTCATATTGGGGGGCTTCATGTTTTGGACCCTTTAGGGGGTCTCGGAACCCTGGGAGCCACCTGCGGGTGGGGAAGTCAGGTTCTCCGAAAAGCCCTCCAGTGGCGAGGCTTGGATGATAATGGCGTACTTCCCGCCTCAGGATGCATGTGTCGGTTGTAGGGTTTTGAGGGTTTAAAGCTTTAGGGTTTGAGGGTTTCAGCGTTTTGGGGTTCAGGGCTTTAGGGTTTCGGGCTTTAGGGTTGGAGTCACTGAAGCACAGAGATGAGACACCTGGCTACGTTTCCTGAAGCAACAGTACATGCCTACTGAAACCCCAAACCCGATCTTCATCTTGTGGCGGTTTTCTTCTACAGATAGCATCAGATAGTCAGCTTGCAACGAACAGATTGCCTCATCATCAGGGTTCAAGACCCTTTGCTTGTAATGATTGCAAACAAGGCCAGGGGCAAACATGAAATTCGGAGATTGACACATTTGCTGGAGCCCAACAATGCCTTGCAAACAAGGTCCTGAGCTTTTCGCAGTTTAATCCGACGCTTTTTCTCGTTGCAAACAGTGCATCCATCTCAACAGCAGTACGAAGTTCAACATGGATACCACACCAAGCGTCCCTGCTGTCATTCCTGTTACTACTACTACTATTACTATCCAATGTTACTATCAGCATAAGTGGTAATGGGTCAAAGCTCCCCGGTCTGGGAATCTGGGGACATCAGCAAGAAAAGCTCGTAAAAAGAAGGCAAGAAACCGTCCCAAATCGAATCTTCGAGATCGACCATGCCAGCTGCTTTTAGGTCCGCTGGGTTGTACTTGGTATAATACCTGACATAGCTCTTGTTGCTGAGGCACATCTGACGAGACTTGGAGGCACACCGACAATAAGCTGGTTCACAGTCTATGTTGCTTGGAGAGCTGCTATTGCCCCTTTGAGGGGTCCGCTTTTGGGATTTTAGACATGTCCATCATTCCTCGCATCTCAGGCCAACCGAGATTTTCTGAAGGCATTCACACTTTAACAACATGAACGTCCAACTAGGCAGCTGCTGCATGAGTGGTCTTGCATGGTAGTTTGGACTCTTCTTCCTTTAGCATTGCAGAGATCAACTCGTTTGTGACGGGAGGACACGATGAAAGGCTTCGCGCTGTCTCCAGACGAAACCCTCTCAACTGCTCTGACATGCCTTCGCACTGCAAAGTCAGGGACTCGCTGTACGAACAACAACGAGGACAACCTTTTAACTGCGGCATATGAAGCCTTTTCCGGCAAGATTCGGGCTCAGGGCACAGCACAGAGCCAGCAAACAAGGTACTTGCATGAAGGGCAGGGGTGGAGCGATCAGAGGCGCTGGTGGCGGCGGCTGCTGTTGCTGCTCGCTGTCATCCCCAAGAGACGGGGTTACGGTTGTCCTAGAACAGTACGTAAGAAATAGTCGTAGCGCAGGCGTTTCAAGAGAAGGACTGACTTGGTGACAGTAGCAGTCGCTGCGCCTCATCTCACGCTTTGTCTCCGGCCCGAGTAGATAACGGATCTTCTCGGCACCCGGTATGTCCTCCGTGTTGATGGGTCCAGCTTGCATGCTTGGCGTGCAGATGCGGTGTTAAGAAATTGGCCTCATAAACAATACTAATAATAATAGTAATGATAATAACACTAGTAATGATAATAGTAATAATAACAGCTATAAATCTTAAATAGTAATAACGGTACTTATGAATCTGCCCATCTGACGAGCTCAGGCGTTCCAAAACATTTCCAGGACCAATGTAGACCCCTTATTAATACCCCCCTTAATAGGGATTATAATACGGATCCTAATGTTAAGGCCCTTGAAAGGAGGGCTTCTCAAACGCGCGGAGAGAGAGCACAGCATCATGATGCATGAAGCACTCCACAGAAGTCCTCCTTTTTCAGCGAGTTGAGAATCTTTGCCCAACGCCTCGAGCGTCGTGAACAGTACTTCAGCAGGCTCTACTTGCCGCTCAATGAGCATCGATTTCAACGGTTGCTTTTGAGCAGCAGACCCTGAAGCGTGCAGGATGCATCAGTCAGACAAGAGGCATTGACATTCGAGGTCGCAGACGACCATATATTACCCTATATAACCCTATATTACCCTATATAACCCCATATTATCTTATGTTACCCTAGTTGACCATATATAACCCTATATTACCCTACATAACCCTATTATACTTCCCAAGCTGGGGCTTGTGCATCGCCCTCAAAGCAGGATTCCCGGTTGCAAAGACCACATCCACACGTAGCTCCTTTCAGGGCCAGCTTATCAGCTCTTCCTACTATTGCTACTCGTATTATGAATATTATTCTAGTGGTACTATAATTACTATCATTACTATTAATACTACAGTATTATTACTATTATGACTATCTCCTATTGTGCTTTTGATTTTTGGTGACTTCGGTGCTACCCGAGCACACGGAGCAGGGTCTGCCGTTTCCCGTGCTTTTAGGAAGGACGTGGCCCTCACTTGATGCGGAATCTGCAGATGCACGGTTGCTCCACCTTCAGAATTCGCATGCCGTGTATGAGAAGGCTAGATGCTATTTCGCAAAGCTCGGTTCGCCCTTCTCACCTTACGAGAACTGCTCTGATCTTCTTCTTCTACGAGCCACGTCCACTCCCTAAAAGGGGTAGACAGGAGCTATGCTCCCTGACCCCGCAAGTCCACAGTCGTTCGATCGTACCGCCAGGACCGGGATATTAGCTGCTTTGGCTGCTCAGATCTCCTTGCTTTGTTCTGCTTTGCTGTTCGGGGATGGACCTCGAGGTTCCCCGGCTTCTTTCTCACGTCTGGTCCGTGTCGTGAAACAAAAGGGGTTCCAGGAGATCGTGGTTCCAAAAGAATTTCACAAACGACACCACACTCTTGATCTCTCTGTCTCTCCACGGCACCATGCGGATGCAGAAGAATCAGTCGCTGTCACCGCTCGTGCTGGCAACATGAGCCTAGCGGCTAGAATCGCTACGTACAATCTAGCTAACTGTGGCACCAGGTCCTCCAAGGCATTCAAGTGAGTTGAAAGAAGCCTCAGGCAGTGGCAACCGCCAAAAGCTTGAGACATGACATCTCGAGGACGGCGATCATGGGAGACCAACAACAGCACACAGTAAATGCACGTAAGAAGTGCGCTGCCGGAATCGTGTTACTGACGCCAGCTACCCAAAAGTTATGACATGCCTCCGGATCCCTCAATGTAGGCCCTACACCCTAGACCCCAAATAGTAGTTTCCATTTTCTTTTCCATTATCCCTAGATAATCCCAATACATACCCCCATATACTACAGAAGTTTGAATTTTCTTTTCTATTATCCTGTAGGATCTCCTGAGTCCCATGTATCAGGCTCGAAACACAAAATGTACTAAGGTAGACTCTAATATACTCGAACTACAATACACTACTATAACCATATTCCGATTGGGGCAGCCTTTTGGGCGCGCTTGCAAGCTGCTGTTGAAGAATTACCAGGCATGCTGCACACTCGTTGTCTTCGAGGACATGTCAGGCGGATCCTTTAGTGGGTCTAGAATTTGAAGTCGGCCGAAAGCAAATGCAAGTCTGCGCTGCAGCACTAAGAACTGGCCTTCGGTTGGCTGGGAATGAACGAATGCAGAAGAAAATGGACACGACTATAATGGGTTTCATAGGGGCTACTATAAGGATCCATTCCTCCCTAAACCCTAACAAACCCTAAACCATATAGGGACCACTACCAGGATCCATTCCTTCATGCCTAGCTACCCAAAGGCCAGAGAAAAGCGAAGTTCCCGGTTGCCCAGCTAACGGAACCAAATGCCCAGAGCACACAACAATCATATGTGTACATATATACACATAAAATTATGTAGATTTCCATTTAATAATGATGTATAGAAATATATGGTAACCCCCCTCTAGGACCAACCTTTAGCCTTTTCC